GGTTTTGGGATGCGGTAGGGGGAGGGGAGATTTTGAAGCTTGTGAAATCCACATTGATACCATTGGGCTGCAGGGTTCCCAAGTGGAATATGAGTTGCTGTTCCTGCAACCTTTGGGTGGCATCGTTGTGGCACTGCAGGAGGCCCAGGATGGACATGTCGTCTGAGGAATGGGAGGGGGAGTTGAAATGGTTCGCGACTGGGAGGTGCAGTTGTTTATTGCGAACCGAGCGTAGGTGTTCTGCAAAGCGGTCCCCGAGCCTCCGCTTGGTTTCCCCGATGTAGAGGAAGCCACACCGGGTACAGTGGATGCAGTATACCACATTGGCAGATGTGCAGGTGAACATCTGCTTGATGTGGAAAGTCTTCTTGGGGCCTGGAATGGGGGTGAGGGAGGAGGTATGGGGGCAGGTGTAGCACTTCCTGCGGTTGCAGGGAAAAGTGCCAGGTGTGGTGGGGCTGGAGGGGAGTGTGGAGCAGACAAGGGAGTCACGGAGAGAGTGGTCCCTCCGGAAAGCAGATAAGGGTGGGGAGGGAAAGATGTCTTTGCTGGTGGGGTCGGATTGCAGATGGCGGAAGTGTCGGAGGATGATGCGTTGGATCCGGAGGTTGGTGGGGTGGTACGTGAGGACGAGGGGGATTCTGTTTTGGTTCTTATTGCGTGGACGGGGTGTGAGGGATGAGTTGCGGGAGATGTGGGAAACACGGTTGAGGGCGTTCTCGACCACTGAGGGGGGGAAGTAACGGTCCTTGAAAAACGAGGACCTTTACTGGCTCCATCCCCACCTGTTCGACCTGTTTGTTTCCTCTCCACCTATCCTCTCCTCTATCCATCTTCTATCCGCCTCCCACTCTCTCCCTATTTATTTCAGAACCCCCTTCCCTCCCCCTTTTCTGATGAAGGGTCTAGGCCCGAAATGTCAGCCTTTCTGCTCCTGTGATGCTGCTTGGCCTGCTGTGTTCATCCAGCCCTGCACTTTGTTGTCTAGGTAATCTGGTTAGTTTTGTTATTTTCTTTTATTTATCATTTAACTGTGATGGCTTGTTGTCTTTTGAGTGAATTGGGTTGAAAACAAAAGCTATGGGTTTATAACATAGATCAATTAGATTACTTTGTTGTTTAATTTTACTCTGCTAAAGTTACTGTATTCTAAATAAATTGTTTGGCTTTGTCTTTTGTTTAAGATACAAATCAGTGTCTGGAATTAATTATTCATAAACTATCAGATTAGTTATTCAAAAATCTGGTTAGGAACCATCGGTGTCGATTTTCAGGGTCTTTGAAAGTTTTAATTTTACTGTGTTGTGAATGCAGACATAGAAAAGCTGATTCTAGTTTAGCTCTCTGTCTCTAAGTGGTTTTCATGACGTGTTGTTCCATAGGCATAGATAATGGTTTCTTAGTTGATTTTCTGAAGATATTGAGCAGGGTCATCTTCACACTTCACTCAGATAAGGGCAGTGATACTTACAACTTAGTTTTCTATTCTCTGAACTTCCACATGCTGCTCATGGGAGGTTATGCAGGGAGCTTTCAATCATCTTCTTTAGCACCAAGATCCAGGATTCTTTTTCAGAAAACATATACCAAAATCCAATTCAAACTCTGACCGCTGCCCGATGGGTTGACCATCTCCTCTATTAGGTATCAGTTACTATTCATTATCTGCCATCTGCGTGAGCATAAGATCTTTTCCAGACTTGCTGGAACCAATTCCCAGGTACTGGCCTTATTGGTAGCTAACTCCTGCTCCTTGTTTAAACATCATGCTCTTCCCCAGTCATGAAAGGTATGCAGAATCTTTTGATCAGGAACCAACCTGGACTTAACTTCAAGCCTGGCCTTATGAATAAACTAAAACTTGTTTAGTCTGTTTTCCTTTTGTCACTAGTATTACCTACAGTCCAAAAGCTGTCTTTCGCTCACAGTACCCAGTTCACAGCCCCAAACCTAAATTGATAAAAGAATAAAATAAAAATAAGAAAAAAATCAGTGAGGACACTAACATAGTATTTTCCCTGTAAAACACAATTGAAAATGTTGCTAATCACAAGAAAAGCACAAATTATTCATAGGTCTTGCCTGAACGATTGCATAAAATACCCATTGAGTCCACATCGACATTCTGAAGAGCATCCCACTAGGCCCAACATTTTGACTCCACTCCCCATGACCCTGCATTTACCACGGCTAGCCCACCCATCTCTGAACACCATGGGACAATTTAGCATGGCCAATCCACCTAACCTATACATCTTTGGACTGTAGGAGGAAACCAGAACACCAAGCAGAAATGGGGAGAATGTGCACACTCTACATAGAGAGTCACCTTCGGCAGGAAACAAACCCAGGTCCCTGGTGCTGTGAGGCAGTAGTGCTAACCACTGAGTCACTATGCCAGACACTGATGTGTCTCTGTGGGTTGTTGGTGTCTACAAAGGTACGTAAGTACAGTCCAACCCGATTTACCCTGATCCTCTGATGGAAAAGACTTTTTGTCTTCCCCAGTTCTGAAAGTTTAAAATGTTAAAAGTACAGACCAGGCTTGTCAGCCTCTGAAAAAAGACAGACTAATTGACATTCTGAGCTTTAACCTTTGATCAGAAGCTAAATTTAAGTTAGTAAAAGTTGAGTTTTAGACTGGTATCAATCTTTTCTTCACACAAAACATGATCAGTACATAGAACAGAGTTTCACAATGAAATACTTGAAAGAGGTGGCCTGGAGTTATTAATAAATGAATAGATGCTGCAAAGAGGGATTGTAGTGTTCGTTTTTTCTGAATTAATTAACTCATTTGGGCCCATGTTCTTTATTGTTGATATTGATATTGCAATCAGAACTGGTAGAGAGTGGTAAGAATAAGAGCATGAACATTTCCAGATGGTAAATGGGTATTCTGAATCCAATGGACAGCACAGGCAACAGACTGTTCAAGCTGAAGTTTAGATATTTTCCTAATCAATCTGTTTAGAGATGTTATTAATCACCTTTGGAGCAGATGCGTCTTGAACCTGGGTCACGGGATAAGACACTACCACTGTGCCACAAGATCTCCCCCAATGCTATTGTTTGTACCACTAAGTCAACCGTCTCCTTGTCTCCCTCTGCTTTCTAATCTACTTGGCATGAGAATTACTCTCTTTCCCCCCTCAAGCATTCAGTTTTCTCCTCAAATACAATTTTATTACTAGTAAATTTATTACAAAAAGCGTCTGTGTTTTTTGTGATGATCTATCAATCCTCATTGCATTGCACAATATGTTGAGAGTTTACAAGAATCCTATCATTTGCAACCCCACAACGTCTGTGCCTTTGAATCAAAGTGCTGCACTCTAATCCTGCCAATTCCCACAGTTCTTTTGCAACGCTTTCCCAAAAGCAAGCAATGCGAGTAGTCATTGCTTTGGTTGTTGCAAACATGAGAGGCTTCAAAAGGACACAGCCCCAGCTGAGAAAGAAACAGGGGGAAAGGAACAGAAAAGCAAGGGGTGGGTCAGATGTTTGCACTGGATGTTTGCAAAGGGCGAGTTATATGTTTGCAAAGGTTGAATTAGATATTCGCAGAGAATCGGTCGGGTGTTTGCAGGGGGTGAATTAGGATGTTTGCAAGGGGTGGTTTAGGAAGTTTACAGTGTGCGAGTTAAAGACCACCGATTGTAGAGATTGGGATGTGTGTTTGCAGAGATTGGAAAGTGTGTTTGATGTTTGCAGAGGGTGATTTGGGATGTTTACAAGTGATGTTTGCAGTGTGTGAATTAGATGTTTGGAGAGAGTTGTTGTTCACAAAGAGCGGGTCCGGTATTTGAAGAGGGTGAGTTTGATGTTTGCAGGGCTATTTAGAGACTGAGTTGACGTCTGCAGAGGGTGAGTGGGATATTTACCAAGACGGAGTGGATGTTTGCAGGGGTAGTAGGAACTGCAGATGCTGGAGAATCCGAGACAACAAGGTGCAGGGCTGGATGAACACAGCAGGCCAAGCAGCATCATAGGAGCAGAGGGTGTGTTGAGAGGTTTGCATAGGGTGATTTTAGGTATTTGCAGTGGTGAGTTGGGAAGTTTGCACTAGGCGAGGTGAAATGCTTGCACAAGGTGAAATGATTGCAGAGGGTAAGCTGGAAAATTTGCACAGGGTGGTTTTGGATATTTGCAAGAATGGGGAAGTTTGCATAAGGGGTGAAATGTTTTGCAGCGGGTGAAATGTTTGCAGAGGGTATGTTGGGAAGTTTGCACAGAGTGATTTTGGATATTTGCAGGGGGTGGGGAAGTTTGCACAAGGCGAGGTGACATGTTTGCAGAGGGTGAGTTTGGGTAATTGCGGAGGTGATTGCATCGGGAGCCTTAATGCCCGGCCTGGTCCCGGGGCACGAGCAGAAAGGGGATCTGGGCTGGAGCGCGGGATCCGGGGCCTGAAGGTGGAGGGGCGGGGGTGGTATGGGTGTGCTCGAGGCCCGGAGCCAATGGGCTGTCGGGGAAGTGGCGCCACGTGACCGGCGGAGCTGTCCCGGGAGGTGGGAAAAAAATAAACCGCCAACGGTCAGCTCGACGCCTCAGAGCGGCTCCGGGGGAGCGGGAGGACAGGGAGAGAGTAACAGACTGTGTTCAAAATAAACCCCACACTCAACTCAAAACTACTCTGTTACAATTTACCCACTGCCAAAGTCACCCAATTAAACAAGGCATTCATTGCAATCACCAAAAAAAAAACAAATATCCGGAGAAAGAGGATAATAATCAGTGGAGGGGGAGGGTGTGAGGGAGTGGAGGGGGGGGGGGCGGGGAAGAAGAGTTTCTTCGACCGGACGATGCCAAACGGAGCTGGCTCCAAGTCTTCAGCCTCGGCGGCGGCCGGGGTAGGCGACGGCGACTCGGTGATCAACAGCAGCGGCAGCGGCAATGTGAACGGCAGCTTCTCCAAGGCTCTGAACCCGGGCGCCGTGTCACCCGCCTCCAAGAAATCCCCTCGCCTGCCCAAGTGTGCCCGCTGCAGGAACCACGGCTACGTGTCGGCCCTGAAGGGCCACAAGCGGTTCTGCATGTGGAGGGAGTGCCAGTGCAAGAAATGCAACCTGATCGCCGAGAGACAGCGGGTTATGGCAGCACAGGTAAGCTGCAAAAGGCGGGCAATAAACTCGGGCCGATTGTATTGACAAGGGGGTGCGGGCTGTGGCTGTGTGGGTGGGGGTCTGTCTAGGGGTCTGTGTGTGTGGGTCTGTCTGTGGGGAGGGCTCCTATGTGTGGGTGGGGGTCATTGTGTGTGTGTGGGTCTCTGTGGGGCGGGCTCCTATATGTGTATGGGTCTGTGTCTGTGTGGGTGGGGGCCACTGTGTGTGTGTGAGTCTGTCTAGGGGTCTGTGTATGTGGGTCTC